CAGTTATCTCGACAGCAAGGGGCCCATATTTTAAAAGCGGCCATAAACATTACTGTTGATTCGTTTTCTATCATTCTCTTACAGACTTTGGTGCTGAATCATTCGACAGATAAATCTATGGTTAAAGATTATGTCAAAACATGCTATTCATCAATCTTTGACAAGACAGATTATTCAAATATTTGAAATGTTAGTAACATGTATAATCTGTTGGATTTGTATACTTCCTGATCATAGATGTAAACCTATCCATGTATATAATGAGGATGTCATGGTTACAGCATGAGCCAGTATTGTACATTGATTTGCATAGTTACAGCATCACCCATTATTGTACACAGATTGGCATAGTTACAGCTGTCAACCATTATTGTACACAGATTGGCATAGTTACAGCTGTCAACCATTATTGTACACAGATTGGCATAGTTACAGCATTGATCATTATTGTACACAGTTGGCATAGTTACAGCATCAGCCATTATTGTACACAGATTGGCATAGTTACAGCATCAGCCATTATTGTACACAGATTGGCATAGTTACAGCATTAGCCATTATTGTACAAAGATTGGCATTACAGTATCAGCCATTATTGTACACAGATTGGCATAGTTACAGCATTTGTCATTCGTATTATTGTACACAGATTGGCATAGTTACAGCATCAGCCATTATTGTACACAGATTGGCATAGTTACAGCATTGATCATTATTGTACACAGTTGGCATAGTTACAGCGTCAGCCAATATTGTACACAGATTGGCATAGTTACAGCATTAGCCATTATTGTACACAGATTGGCTTAGTTACAGCATTAGCCATTATTGTACATAGATTGGCATAGTTACAGCATTAGCCATTATTGTACACAGATTGGCATAGTTACAGCATTAGCCATTATTGTACACAGATTGGCTTAGTTACAGCATTAGCCATTATTGTACACAGATTGGCATAGTTACAGCATTAGCCATTATTGTACATAGATTGGCATAGTTACAGCATTAGCCATTATTGTACACAGATTGGCATAGTTACAGCATTAGCCATTATTGTACACAGATTGGCATAGTTACACCGATAGCCATTATTGTACACAGATTGGCATAGTTACAGCATTAGCCATTATTGTACACAGATTGGCATAGTTACAGCATTAGCCATTATTGTACACAGATTGGCATAGTTACAGCATTAGCCATTATTGTACACAGATTGGCATAGTTACAGCATTAGCCATTATTGTACACAGATTGGCTTAGTTACAGCATTAGCCATTATTGTACACAGATTGGCATAGTTACAGCATTAGCCATTATTGTACACAGAATGGCATAGTTACAGCGTCAGCCAATATTGTACACAGATAAGCATAGGCACAGCATCAGCCATTATTAACTTACTATTATAGAATTTACAGATTCAGTAATAATGAATGAACACATGTTTAAAATACATACACAATTTATTACACAATTTTTTCCTTTATAATATACATAACTATTATCATGAAGATTCTGAAAAACTCACAATTTTACACCACAGGTTGCACAAAGGTATACATTTATAACTTATTTCTAGATAAAAAATATTTATTAATAATATTATTACTCTGTTGAATTCAGTCATAATGTATTCACAGATTCAGCCATAATGGAACTTTTCATGGAAATTTATTACACGACTTTTTTTTCACAAAATACATATCATGGATATTCTGTTTACAGCACAGTTGTCTTAATATTTTATAAAGTTTATAAAATATTTATTCAGAACATTATTCTGTAGGTCTTTTTCAGGTTTAAAAGCAAACCCCTGGTTGACATAGCTGAGTAAATTTGAAAGTTAATAAAAGAATAATATGCGATAAAATGTCAAGTTCATAAGCCTTTGAATAGAATGATTTTTCAAGCAAACATTTTGGTACTACACTTTGTTAATCTGTACATATTGTTCTACCCTATCTGATTTTCTGTTCACTGTAAGATTGAATGTATGCCACAAAAATTAATGATTTGATTTTAAAGTTGAATTCTTTTTATTATAGTTCAATGCTGGAATGCCTATCAGAAAGAAATAGGCACTGAGAAATACAGAAAATACATAAACAAAAAATTCATGTTTGTCAAATCCCATGCTTTGATTGTCATGTTTCTACGTTTAATTTAATGTATAACGCATGATGAACAGAAAACTATTTCATTTTTAATTTTGGACAAACAAAACATAATTTTTCATTGGGTATAAGTCCTGATCACACATTTTCTGCAGATGATCATGATGGTAAGAATTATGCAGTGCAGAATATATAAAAATCATTTCTCAGATAAAAATAATATTTTCTATCCCTACACCGCCATTAATGAATGGTCTAGTCCAGTAGATAAATAAATATTACAGACAAGTTATACAATATATACATGCAACCAATTATACAGTGAGAAAAATACATATATGTTAAAAAAATAATTCTTGAATAACACCTGTTTTAAAAAATGTCTATGATAAAAACATTTGGCAATTGTTTACACATTCAGTTAACCATACAAGTAACATTCAGTTCAGAGTTCCATACATGCAACATCCATATCACTTGGCCCCATACATGCAAACATACAGTTCACTGGGTCCCATACATGCAAACATACAGTTCACTGGGTCCCATACATGCAAACATACAGTTCACTGGGTCCCATACATGCAAACATACAGTTCACTGAGTCCCATACATGGAAACATACAGTTCACTGGGTCCATACATGCAAACATACAGTTCACTGGGTCCCATACATGCAAACATACAGTTCACTGGGTCCCATACATGCAAACATACAGTTCACTGGGTCCCATACATGCAAACATACAGTTCACTGGGTCCCATACATGCAAACATACAGTTCACTGGGTCCCATACATGCAAACATACAGTTCACTGGGTCCCATACATGCAAACATACAGTTCACTGGGTCCCATACATGCAAACATACAGTTCACTGGGTCCATACATGCAAACATACAGTTCACTGAGTCCCATACATGTAACATACAGTTCACTGGGTCCCATACATGCAAACATACAGTTCACTGGGTCCCATACATGCAAACATACAGTTCACTGAGTCCCATACATGTAACATACAGTTCACTGAGTCCCATACATGTAATATACAGTTCACTGAGTCCCATACATGCAAACATACAGTTCACCGAGTCCCATACATGCAAACATACAGTTCACTGAGTCCCATACATGCAAACATACAGTTCACTGAGTCCCATACATGTAATATACAGTTCACTGAGTCCCATACATGTAATATACAGTTCACTGAGTCCCATACATGTAATATACAGTTCACTGAGTCCCATACATGTAATATACAGTTCACTGAGTCCCATACATGTAATATACAGTTCATATGTGATTCTCATATAATATTAAAATCCTGAATGTATCAAATTTTGTATTAAATACTTTTTTCCATTTAATGAATTACTTGAAAAAACAATTGATGCCTTCAAGCCTATAAAAGTGTATAGCATACATGAAGCAACACTGTTGTCATGTACACAGTATAATCTAACATGGGTTCTCACCCAGCAGCGGTTTTAGAGGGGTGCTAAAAGTCTGGTGAACAGACTGGCTAAGCAACTAGATAAGACTTGTTGCCATTATTGTGTTTGAATGGACTACATAGTGTCTAGGATGTCAGTAACACCAATCAGACTAGTAGAGCACATATAAGCACAGTTTTGATAATGGTGTTCTCAAAGTTGTATTGATGGTAACATTTAGTTGAAAGACTTTATTTGAGTTATAACTTTGCAATAAATCAAATCTTAAGATTACACTGTTCACCAGTTACACTGATCAAACCTGACATATTTTTGTTATTTATCAACTTAAGTAACTATTGTCTTCACTACAATACATTCTGTTATGATTAAAGTAATTATCCTTGAAATTTGAAAAGGAGAGACCTAATGGCTATACTCAAAAGTCTAGCGTGCATCTCCGACCAATCTTAATGGAAAATGCATTACATACATGTATTGCATACTCAATTTGTGATTCGGTGACATGATGACACACTAAAATGTTGAAAATATAACACCCTAAAAAGCTGTAAATTCAATGACTTGTAACACCTTATGATGCTAAAAACTCAGTGATTAGATGACACCCTAAGATGCTGAAAACTCAGTGATTAGATGACACCCTAAGATGCTGAAAACTCAGTGACTTGGTGACACCCTAAGATGCTGAAAACTCAACAATTCATTGAAAATGACACAGTCCCCGTTAAATTTTTGAAAGTTCTCTTTGTGCTCGTCATATTAAAGCGGAGGGGGTGGCGCGAGCGTGTCCTTGAAACTTGAGTTCCAAGTGGCGTATACAACTGATTGTTTATTTACATCAAAACAGGTGTTCCGTGTAGTAGTAATATGGCCAAAAATAAAAACAGCCGTTATTCGGCCATCTTTGATCTGATTATGAAACACACTGCTATGTATGATGTATGTGCCAAATACGAATGAAAATGGTACATAAATTGTGGAAATATAGTAGTAAGGCCAAAATATCAGATGGCTGTCAATCGGCCATCCTTAACCAGATTTTGAAACAAATTGTCATGGACATGCATCCTAACATGTATAAAGTACATGTATGTGCCAAATTTGAATGAAAACTGACAGAGCACATCCAAGATACCGCATAAAAAAAAACAAGATGCCTGCCAGTCGACCATCTTTGATCCAATTGAGAAATAAATCGTCATGGACATGTATCCTAACAAGTATAATCTATGTACCAAGTTTGAATGACAACTGACAAAGCATGTCCGAAATACAACATTTTCAAAAAACAAGATGGCTGCCAGTCGGCCATTTTGAATCGAATTGCTAAACCACTGCATGTGCATATGTCCCACATAAAGTACTAGACACATGCAAAGAATGAACAGAATCGATATGACTTCGGACGGACGCACAGATGCACGGACGCACAGAGACCGAATTATAAGTCCCCGTTTTCGGACTTCGTCCGAACGGGGACTAATGACTTGATGACACCCCAAGATGCTGGAAACTTACTCACACATGAATCTATAAAGTGCTTGGTGATTTTCTGATATTAAAAAGAAACTGTAACTGTTGAATTTATTATATTACACCTATTACTTCACATGCCCAAAGCTTTAAACAAATTGTTGCCAACAATACAACTTAATGGGACATAGCAACTGTACTCTACACTGTTCAACTGACATTGTTATGAAATGGATGAATAAGATACAAATCTAATACAGCATCAAGGAAAGAAGCAGTCACATACAATTTTTTTTCTCTCCACAGCAGTCAAAAAACTGACTCAACTTTATTTTAAGAGATTCAATTTTGACTCATAATCTCTACAAAATCAGCCCTGTTAGAAGGCACACTGGATGCATGCACCATGGAATTGACCCCGACTAAATCTACTTCTCAGTGAATGCCTCCAATTCAGTCTCCTTTGGTTCCACAGTCTTATACTTGTCTATAGCAATACCTTCATGGTCCTCCGCTGTCTCTTGCATAGGTGGTTTGTAAGTACAAAGAGCTAAACTGAAGAACAATAAACTAAGTACTTTAAGTCCAGCAGCCACAATGAACAGATATAAACTCATCATAGGGTTATCGTACTGCCAACAAGTCCCTGATGAACCACATTTCTCTTCCCATAGAATACATGACCTGTCGATTACAGCACCAAAGACTATCGGACCTGGTATTGAGCCTACCAATAAAATAAAATAATATATACAGTGATCACAGTCGATGTTAAATTGGTCAAGTACAATAAAAGTGTGACAGACATAATTTACCGTCATATATTCATATTCACATTCTTGAAAATGGCATAATTATAGGCAGAAAACAAATCAAAAGAAATGAAACGAATATTTTGTAATCACCACAAACAGTGCACATGGGGCTTGGCATATTTGAAATATTTGTAACAACGAATCCTATTGATTGTTAACTTTGCTATTGTGTTATACAACCTCTACCATGTGATACCAACATAAGTGAGATGCTTTCTTTAGTATAATGGTACTGTGCCCTCAACAGCCAGTTTGGGTCAGCTTTCACTTTGAATTATGTAGTTTGGTAAAGGATGTCTTTTGGGCTAAACGAAAGTCCTACGATTTGCTGAAAATGTTGTTTTATTATTTATGAAGTTCTGATGTGTTATTTGTGATTTACGATGGTTATTTCATAAAAGTGTTGCCCCATTTCATGATGTATTTTTATTAGTTAAGTTAGGGAGGCGAGCGAGCGATCGCGCACTCTCTCTCTCTCTCTACAAATGTCGGCAGAGCACATGTGAGGATTGAGCTGCTTCGCAAAACGAAGTATTTGTGCTGGATAGCTTTGAATCCGACCTGATCGATTTTGTCCAGTCAACAAAGGAAACTTGGTGCTCGTATTGAAGGCGTTTTTACTTGATTTATAATTTAGTAACCACTGTAAAATAGCGTTTTTCCGATCTCTACTCGGACCGAGCTGAATTGAACTCCCGCAAAACGCGAGACTCGGTTTCCATGGGAAACAAGATGGCGGCGCCCATGAAGCAAACACGGAAGTGTGAAATCTCTCAACCGCAAGCCAGATAAGTGCGTTACGAATATAATCGATTGCTACCATTGCCTTATGTACAACTTAAGTGCATATTGGTGCATATGAATTGTTTCCAGCCTCAACATTATTCATTCTCTTCCGCATTGTTATACTGTTGATGTTCGCCATTGCTAAGCATTGTACGTACATACGTGCCACTTGTTATAGTAATACGTCTATGATCGATGCTAGATGTAACGTTATTGCCAATATAGACATTTGTTTATTTTACGTCTTCGTGACTGAAGACAGCGCCCTCAACTTCAAGAAGTACACCTGTGCAGCACACCTGCTAGGATTCGTGGTAGCTACGACACCTTTACATGCTGCAGAGTTTGTATTCAACGTCTCTGTATGACTAATGCCAGACATCGTACATCCATCCGTCAAGCAGTTCAACATACACCTGAGTGAACTCTTGTATTGCTGATGCGAGCTTTTTATTTTATATCTGTATTGGGGTAGTATTTTATATTGAAAAGGAATATTGTACCATCACTGTTGAACGTTAATACATTGTTTATACATACTTTGATTATTTCCCTACTTATGAGTCTCTTGCATGTGTGTGTCCTGCGCTACCATTCCGGACCATATAAATTGATTATTTTGTCTACCCTTAGTCTGCTCTATCGCTAGCCCTGGGGCATTGTTTTTGGAAAGAAGGGTAACACATGCATACTCATAAACATACTGAGCTACCACACAGGTTCTTAGAGAGGAATTTCTGAATTGATATGAATGCAACTGTGCAAGCAAACAAAAAAAGACATTTGGCAAACAATACTTATATCGGAAAGATCTGCATGCAACAGCAATATAAACTGGTCTCAAAAAACTGGTCTGAGTTTACAGAGAAAGTATTATATTTCATTAGCCAGGCATTTTATTATGAATTGCGCCCTCTTGCTGCTGCTACATGTAGAAAATATGGCTGCCAGTAGAGGGCGCTATACACATAGTAAGTCTTCATTGCAATGCTTCTGAATTATGGCAATTTTTTAGAATGACCAAATTCTTACCTAGAACTCTGATGACTATCCATTGAATACCAAGTGCAAATGATCGCTGAGAAAATGGAACACACCTGTAATGAAAATGAATAACAATAAGGGGGTTTTCCATCTTGTGCATTGGGTGAAAAGCGTGGACCAAACATCCATTGATTTAATTTTGAATTTCTTTTTTCATTACTCACTGCCGATCATTCAAGAAAAAATATAATGTTGAGATACCCGTTATGAAAACTGTGCATCATTAAATAGCACATTGTTAGGTGAGAAGTTTGTAAAATTTCATGTGACGCCACTACAAGACTATGAGGGTTCATGCAAAATGAGAAGAAAATGGAATATTAAAACAACTTGTTCAAAACGTCTCACAGTATGGTGATGTGAACGTCAAAGTCTGCCACTGTATGAATTTTAAACATATAGGAATAAAAGAATTAGTAATGTCACAAAAATAGATTTTCCAAATTAATGGTTAAATAGTTTTTTCGGTAATTTTGTTGTTTGATACTGTTGACCAAATTGAACTAAGATTTATCATAAACAAAAAATGTTGCATTGCAAGACACACGTTTTCATTAGATGACTCACTACTACACATGCAATGATTGTTATGGTACATACCAAAAATGCAGTGCACATACTTATTAGAGAATTTCATTTCAGCGAAATAGCAAAAATAAATTGCATGTGAAAATAAACTTCATCATATACCTTGTATTGCCCAGCCTCATAAGCTATGGGAAGTGCTCCTTCACATTGGGGCAATAATTTCCCACATATCAATATTACAGTATTTGCATGCCATGAGGGGAGGTGATAAAACTGCAAAACTCACCTGAGGGTGGCTGTTAGTGCTGGTACACTTGCCATAAATGTAAAGAAGATGGCCAAAAAGAATACAACAAAGAAGACTATTTGATATGAACAATTTCTCTCACATTTACCAGCATAGGCTGAAGTAGAGTTACCATCCAATTGAGGGATGCATTCACAATCATGGTACACCTATTAAGAATAACACACAGTGACAATATTACACACTGAAATCAGGTAAGACATGTACATTATAAATAATTCATAAACTCAAACTACAGTTACTCATTGTATGTTTGCATACAGTATCAAAGGCTGTTCTAATATGTTTTATTATATGCATAAAGAGAGGAGGCTGTTGTTTGGACATGGAATCTTGTTACTGAATGTTTGCGCAGCTTGAAACGTTCTTCCTTGCCATTTCAGGCTGTTATCTCCCATTAAAGTATTACTACAAGCAGGAAAAAGATGTATAATATTAACTTAAAATTTATCACAGGGATACTGCAAAGTATGCACTCAGGCAGTACAGCATGAAACGTTCTTCCTTGCCATTTCAGGCTATTATCTCCCATAAAATTATTACTACAAGCAGGAAAAAGATGTATAATATTAACTTAAAGTTTATCACAGGGATACTGCAAAGTATGCACTCAGGCAGTACGGGACAGTCGATATGATCACAATACTGCTGCCGTGCATATTTTGCGCTATTCTCGTAATGGTTCTTGAGAATAAAGTGAAAATCATATGCAAATTAGATCATTAATATGTACCAAAACCAAAAAATAATCAGCTCTGCGCATTATCTCCGAGCATATGCCTTTGTGCATACTTCACAGGATTCTTGTTATAACCTTGTAGTATTCATACAATACAAATATTGATAAGTAGCAGTGACACCTACTCTCTTATTCAGCTGTGATTCATCACGAGTCTGACAGCCTGCGTGACAGGGAGAATAGTAAGCAATACCATCTGAACCACATACAGGATCATATATTGAAAGACAGTGACAATCACGGTTGCAAATATCAGTCAAATTACCATCTATTGTAGCACCAGTACTGAAATAAAAATACACACAAATAAATACCATATTTGTTCTAATAGTGGCTCATTCACTTATATATAAATTACATATTAGGTGTAAATTACTTTTGACCAAATAACTAATATTTTAATAATTTGGCATACAGCAAATGCAAGTATGGGTTTCTGTGTCCTTCTAAATTCTATCAGAGATGCACTTCTTATAGATCAAATACGGTAAATCTAGTCTATGTGAAAACAAAAAATCTTGTAATTAGGAAACAATAAATAACAATTGAACACATAATAATCAGAGGTCAGCGGGATTCATACCAGTATCCATGGCATTATGATCAATTTATAAGAATTAGGGTATGTATGGTGATATACAATAAAATTCTCATGTACCAAATGTACTTCAACCAAATTTGGCATCACATAAGGCAGTGGACACAGTGGAAAAGTTTGACTGCATAATAACAGAAAGTTAGGGGTGGACGTATTCTTTTTTATTGATTCCTGCAGAATTTTTGTCCCATGATTCTTTTTTCTTGTGCAATTTTTTTTTGATAATTCTACTTCCCATCCCTGGATTCCAAATTGCCTACCCTTGAGTGGGGTTATCGCCACATCCAAAAATGCAAAACACTTCGTGAATAAACAAACATTCCAACTGTATGAACATTTGAAACACTAAGTCAACTTCTGTCTAATACAAAATTAAAAAACATATTTTGTTTTTCTTAAAAAATCTTTATCGAGAGATAAATTAATGTCCACTCATAGATAATGGGTAATTATATCCATTGTTCAAAAAATCAACAAAGAAATTATTGAAAAATGCATAAAAAACTGCAGAACGTCGCACCAAAATCATGGCGGCAAAATAATGGCATTAAAAGAATTATGCAGGTGGAACCTTGCACTGTACCTGTTATAGGGTGTTGTAATGCCAGCAAAAAGTGGATTAGGACATCTTGCCAACAGTATGGCACAGCATAAAGAAGAAAACAGTATCATCACAAAACAGTACTTTATTATCCCAGCTACTTTAAGTTTCATTTTCTTTATGCACCAACCACCCATTACAGTACCAAGAAACCCACTAGGTACCACTACAATACCTAGGAAGAAGAAATGAACATTGTTAATTGTACAATTTAAAGCGGGAGGATCGTCACCTGCGCACGCGCAGGGAGTGAATCCCAACCGACAATAACAACACACGCTAAAAATGCAAAGGCTCATGGGTAGACGCTTGTTTGTAAACAATGACACGCTATGGGCATCTGACGCATGCACATAAGTTTTCTGTATATAAGTTGAATTGTTCGGCGTATTGTGTAGAATGTCCATTTGAAAAATACTGCATAATAAGTAGTGTTATTTTTCTGGATGACCTAATATTCCACAATGCATTGTTGTTTTGAAATCAGCTTTGGATGCTCGCTAAACATGGCTATAATTGGTAATCTAGGAAGTATGAGGCATTCAATGTTCAGACATAGTCGCAATTACGGAAGTGAAAAAGTTGCATATACATTTTTTAGAGAGAAACTTTGTGGTGCAAGCTTTACACATTAAAATTGATAATGATAAGAATAATGTTTATTGAACTTGAACTCCAACTAGTGTGTTTTTGAAAACATAAAAGGTGTCTGTGTGAAACAACATTACATTCACAGATACATATAGGTCCAATTATACCGGCAATATAAAAATACAACTTGGTCTGCAAATTTTCTGCTTGTAAATTGACTGAATGCAATTTAAATTATTTATTTTTTATTTCGAGCAATCACAAGCTATTGTTCTGGTTGGCAAAATACAAACTTCAAATCTGTGAAGTCAATATTGAGTAGATATTGAGACCAACCATGCATTGTCATGAAATATCTTTGTAACAAAAATTCTTATTAAGCTGCAATCTTCAGAAAAAAATCTTTCCTTTTTGCACTAGAAATCTCAACAACAAAAAAAGTGCATATAACAGTAGCAATATTTTGTGTCAAAATCTGTCTACAATTAGTCATTTTAGTATTAGTCAACAGTTTGTTCACCATCAATCTTATTTTTGATTAACACTGATGGGACTACAGTAGTTAAATCAAGTGGGGTGAGACCAAAATAAATGACACAGAGACAAGGATGCCGATAGGTAGGTATGATGGGAGCATCACACCCTCACGTGCAGGCGTCATAGCGGCTGACCCCATGATGCAATTCACAGATTTGAATTACATCATGACATGAACAACGTGGTACCTGAGTGTTGGTGGTCACTACGGCAACCTCACAAGTAGGCGTCGTAAGAGTTGTTGGCACAGTACGAGTCACAATTTAGACTAACACTGCGGCAAGAACACCGTGGTACCTAAGCAAGGCTGTGTATGCTGCAGTGACAGCCCCCCTGTGCTTTATTGTATAATACTGAAAATCAAGTGAATAACAGAGACTGCGGTGGGTGGGTGGGAAAAATCGTTCAACAGCAAGCAATGAAGCAAATGTGATATGACTGATGAGTGAATGCTTGGTCTAGTGGTTAAATAACCAAGATGCAGAGAATTGATTGGTTGGGGATGGGAGGATTATGGAATATACAAAATATGATTGGTTACCAAGAATGCAGGTTATGGAATGTGTACTTAATAACAAAGCATGGCAATGAAACAAAGGACTGGATGTGTAATGCAGAAAGAGGATTATTATAAGTATGAGGGTGATAATTAAAACATAACATTGAACAAAAGACTGGCAACAGGGTGAGGCAAATGAACCCCATGGTCAGGTGTTAAGTATAAACTACGATTGTGAAAACATGATATGTAGGTAGTAGACAGGTGTGGTCGTCCCAGCAGTGTTAACCTCAGATTACTATGTAATCAGCCAAAAAATTCTTAACAGTAAAATAACACAAATAAAATGCCACTTTAACAATGTTTCCATAAACCACAATGAAAACAAATTTCACTGTTAAATCTCATTAAAAATATTGTTAATATTTTAATACTTCTAGATATCAAAAAGTAACTTTCAGGACTTTATATCTTTTTTTCACCATTGTCACTTAGCAACATTTAGAAATATTGAGATATATATTCTCCCAAAGGAAACATTGGTTAACGCCCTACAGACAAAACATGCTGTTTTCACAGATATTTTTTAACAAATTTCTTTAAAGCGAGTATGGTTACCCCATATTTTTATTTCATTTCCTTAACTCTTGTAACATATGATATATCAAATATGTAAAATGACAATATTGTTACTTTTGTGTAGCATTCAAACTTAAAACAAGACAAAAACACTAACCAAATAGGGTGGCTGACCAGGAAGATGGAAGACCAAATTGTGACTCCACATACTTTGGGGTAAATGTTGAAAACCCAGTCATAATAAAACCCTCAGTTGCACCAGCCAGATTCAAACATAAAAATGGAATGTTGCAGAGCAATACAGCAAAGGCAGCTGGCATGTCTCTGATGGAGGAACCAAAACCAGGTTGAGAAGCTTTCTCTTCTCCTCTGCTTTGATGTGTCTCTGACACTCTCTTCAGTTTGTCAGAACCTATAAGCAAAACAATACACTTTTTCATATCATGATTGTAAAATACAGATAATCATAAAAAAAAGTCTTTCATTTCAATTAAAACAACATATTATAATATAAAACCGGCCAGTAAGCTATACTGTACCATTCTATGGGCTGTTGCTGAAATAAGCTAAAGATATGAAAACAGCATTATATAATTCAACACTGTTCAGGAAAGTCTCAACAACTAGCCCAAAAAACCATTTCTCGCTAATTTTCGGCTTTTGTTTTCACTCACGATGGTAGCCAGGCATTGAAAATGAAGTCCACTCTGAGAAAAGAGCTACTTTAGACACCAACTAGTTGTACAGGTTATGAGGGAACCAGAATTGTAATTGCATATCACAGCATATGACACGGTGTGACTGTGTACAAATTATTGCAATCTGAGCAGTCGCTGGGTTGGTGTGGCTTGTTAGCTTGTGTATATATCTGGTAGCATCGCTTATGTGTGGGCTTTGAATACAAACACAACATTCAGCATTGACAAACCTCATTGACATGAACGTTACCTTGCTTAAAATGTGAATTGCAATTGACCTCACTGTGATGACACATATGTTGTGGAATACGAAAAAAGGGACTGAAGCATGAGCACTGCGTACACAATACTCTAATAATTTTAATAATATGGTAATGACATAGTCATATCTCATGAATATTATTTTAAAGTGCAATTATTTTTAGAAAGCATTTATTATGAAATGTTAGAATCACATATACATGTATATAGTCTTGACCCCAACTGTCTATTGTGGTTATTTGAAGACTGTACACGCTATCTATCATACTTAACTGATCACCAAATTCAACAAGTGTCTCCGCTTTTTACACTGTTTACCAACGTGAGCGTTGGCACTTCAAACTTTTAATGATATTCATGAGGACAGTATTTAATAATATTGCTTACCTGGTAACTGTTTCGGATATGCTACTAATGGTAATGAAACCATCCAAGCTAACGTCCCAGTAATTATGAAGCCTAGCCACCAAGCACCCACCCATAATGGACTGTCAACAGTTATAGACAATCTGCAAATTATGTAAAATAAGTTTTTGTAAATGACATAGTCAGATTTAGAAAAAAAATTATTCTTGCCAAAAATAGTAATATGGACCAAAAGCATAGTTGGGAGTGAATTAGTTGATCTAGTATCAACAGTAATTAGATCTTTTAAATGACTATCAAAATCAAAATATACATGTTAAATTCAAAAGAATATGCTATTCATGCATTTTTTTGTATCCTCACTTAACTTCATTTGTCTGGGCTCATGCACAAGATATACAATACAATAACACTTCATTATCATCGTGAAGAAATTACAATCTTTATTGGGCTCTGAGTAATAAAGTTAAATTAATAAACATGAACACAAATTAATTTTAGTATAGTAGTATGATCAACAAGTCATTGTTAATGACACAGTCCTCGTCCAAAATTTTGTGATCTGACATATCAATTTGATGCTGATGAAGTCATTGAGATTAGATTGAAACTATTAATAGGAGATGAATTTGTAAAAAAATTATGATTTAGTGCTTTTACACAAGAATTGGACATTAGGCAGTCATATTGAATCAAATTACAAAAATAATATTCATGTGGATATATTTATTGATATACTATCTTTGTACAAAATTTAAACAGAAATGTTCATTGAATTCATGGGAAAGTAGGCATGGGTACTATGCAAAACAAGTCATTGTCAATGACACGTCCCCGTTCCGTTCATATTTGAGTGACATATACATTCAAAGCAGATCATGATCAAAGTTTCAGACCGAAATGCACCTGCATACGTACAACACATTGTACTAAATCTAAACAAAATCCATGCATGCATGACTGAGATCCGGTTCCGGAATACGTGACTTTGATGCATTTTCGGCCTTAAAATGGCCATCATTCAGCTATTGTTAAGCGGATCATGAAACAAATACACATATTTATTTGTGACATGATATACCATGTGTGTGTGAAGTTTGAACTTGATCAATCCAGACATGTCTCGGATACGGATCCAGAACTGAAATCTTTAAAACAAAATGGCCGCCAGTCGGTCATTTCGAAGTTGATCCACACAAAAAAATGACGTGCATCAAGGTCCTATTATGTTTAATGTATGTATCAAATTTGAACAAAATCGTCCATGCATAACTGAGATCCGGGTCCGGAATGGTGAAAATGTGCGATTTCAATGCATTTTCGGCCTTAAAGCGGCGGCCATTTGGCTATCGTTAATGAGATCATGAATCAAATGCACATACATATTTGTAATATGATGTACCTTGTGTGTGTGAAGTTTGTACTCGATTAATCCAGGCATGTCTCAGATACGGATCCAGAACTGAATTCTTTAAAACAAAATGGCCGCCAGTCGGCCATTTCAAACCCGATCCCCCCCAAAAAATGACGTTCATCAAGGTCCTATTATGTTTAATGTATGTACCAAATTTGAACAAAATCTGTCCATGCATAACTGAGATCCGGGTCCGGAATGGTGAAAATGTGCGATTTTGATGCATTTTTGGCCTTAAAATGACTGCTATTCGGCTATCGTTTAAATTGATCATGAAAAAAATGCATATGTCCCATATAATGTGTGATGTATGAGTGAAGTTTGAACTTAATCGGTCCATGCATGTTCGAGATACAGGTGATCACAGACGCACGAACGCACACATGGCAAACCATAAGTCCCCGTTTGTACGTCCGAACGGGGACTAACAAAATGGCCACCAGTCAGACATATTAGTTTGAATCACAGAAAAAATATGACATGCAACTATAACCCAATATGTATGATCATCATACCAACTTTGATCCAAATTGGCCTAGTCATCTCTGAGAAACGGCTCCAGACATGTAAAAATGACGATTAAGCGCTTTTACATGAACATATGGCGTCGGCCAGCCATATTGAATTGAATCACAAAAATCATGTTGGTGCAGATGTACCTCTTGGTATACTATCTTTGTACAAAATTTGAACAGAAACATTCATTGCATTCAAGATAAAGTAGCATGGGTACTATGAAAAACAAAATGGTCGCCAGTCGGCCATATTTGTTTGAATCACGAGAAAAAAATTACGTGCACCTACAACCCAATATGTATGATTATCATATCAACTTTGATCCAAATCGGCCCAGTCATCTCTGAGAAACTGCTGCGAACATGTTTAGGTATCAGAAATAGCAAATTTTATACCCAAAATGGCCACCAGTCGGCCATTTTTGTACCGATCATAAAGTAACTTGACGCGCATACGTAAAACATTATGTATTGTCTTCATGTTAAGTTTGAATGAAATCCGTCAATGGGTGTCCAAGATATGGTTCCAGATGTACGTACGGATGGACGGACGGACGGACGGAGCGAACTCAAATTAATAGTTCCTGTGTCGGACTTCGTCCAAACGAGGACTAAAAAGCAAGATTGCAGGAAGTCACCATTCATTCATTTACCTACACTGTAACCTCATTATAACAAACTTTTTTGGAGACATACATGTACAAATATTTTGTTATAGTGAAGTGTCCACTATAATGAAGCATATAATATCCACGGCATCAAAACGTCACTGGTCAGCGCAATTCCCAATACCCAATGTATATATCTTGCAAAATGAATGCTATTCACATTGAAGTCAGGTACATCATAAATTATTTATAAATATAAATATTAATAAACTCAAATGACAGTTAGACAATGTATGTGTAATGTTGTAAATGGTTAGAATACTGTGTAATTGACATGTGAGCACTTCATGAAATACAGAATAGCGCCTAACTAGCCAATCTAATCCTTTCACTTGAGAGTGAGTGAGATTAATTTAAAATGAAAATAGTTGGCTTTTTGAAGTTTTTATAAATATAAACCTAACAATAATGTACAGGATGGAATGGTGTTTTTTTTTTTAAAATCCAAAAGATACTGTTTCAGTGATGGTCAGCATATACTGATGAAATTCATGTTTTTTTTGCGATATTCACATGACTGTGTCATATGCAAAATGAGATATGTACTTACTCTGATGTATCTACTTGACCTATATCAGTATACAAATTTAGCATCATTCCACCTAACACGTAACCTATAGCAGGTCCAAACATGGAAAAACCATAAAAGATACCTGAAACAAAGTAAAATATAATACCATTCCACCCACACACAAAAAATAAACAAAAGTTCATTGTCAATATAGAGGCAGCTCTAGCCTAGACTAACATCTAAGAAATGATCTTGCATTATCGCAGATAGATGAACAGTCAGCAATTCAAAAGTCACATGCATCCACTGTTTAAGTCATCTGTCGGGGTCACATTGACACACTTTTGATTTTATCCAACGTATATTTCATTAAGTTCGTGCAGATCTTTGCTGTTCATGTTCATGCATGTTGCAGTTTATTTTATTTTGTGTGTCTTTATAATATCAACAAGTGTGAAATTGAGATTCAGCAAATGAAGTATGCTAACCTCTCCCCCCCCCCAAATGATAAAAAGCACAAAAATTAAGTTTCTTTAGCTTCTGCAACAATGCCAGACTGTCCCTAACACATATTAATGGAATATCATAATTACTGTAAAATCTGTATTAGAAATCGCGGCTTCTATTAAAATGGTACAATGCAATAGAGGAGATGCGGCTTCTATTAGAGCATCTATACATATGAGAAATGATGATTTTTTGGTTCTCAATTTTTCAAAAAGAATGGGTGCGACTTCTATTAGGGATGCGGCTTCTAATACAGATTTTACGGTACACAATAATATGTTACAATTATATCCTATGCTAACACTGATTTGTACACATATCCCATCGCAATTCAATCTGATTAAGTTTCAATGTTTTTTTGTTTTTTTAGACACTGAAACTCTCATTCAATCTTGTAGGATCAGCTACCAATCAGAATTTGTGTTACAGACTGCACTCTAAGGAGGGCTCTAATTGGAACATAAATCCTGTCAGGGAAACTGTGCATGATTTGGTGATTTATTTGGTCAGATATATTTCGAAGTGATGAACACCAGCGACTGAAAATTAAAATGACCTCCTAATTCATGATTATTTTAATCAGATTGGTTACAATCCAAACAGCACATTCATATTAAATCATAGTTATCATAATTAAAATCAATACTTACCAACATATACTGAAGACATTTTAGTTGGGACGTTCTCATCAATGTATGTAACGCCTAGAGTATAAAGAGGACAGGCTCCAAAGCCATGCAGTAGCTGAGCAACTATAAAAACACCTAGGTATAGGGATAAATTGGAACTACTCTCGCAATCTTCTATAATAGTGCTGTTTTTATCACACACGTCAAGAGTATTAGCATCAAACTCGTACAACCCTGAGGTGAAGTGCGGCAACATGAATACAAATGATCCAAGCCCCACGATGAAAGCACCACACCCTAGCATCTTCGGTTTGTGCCCTTGACCACCGTAGTAGGTGACAAATATGAGAAGAACTAATACAGCAATGTCATAACTGCTAGCAATAAGTCCTGTATTTATGCTTGGAAGATCAAAACGACGTTCAAGACTTGTAATCACAACGTTAATGAAACCGTTTACTGCCATACTCTGGGTTATTGAAAAAATGCACAAGAAGAAGAGAACGCCTTTAGAGTTGTTGAACACCTGTGCACAAGATGGCTTCCAGCTTCCCCATCCACACTGCTGATCTACGGTCAGTGGTTCAGTGTCTATAACGCCGAGTTGTACATTGTCCTTGTTTTCAGCATCATAATCGTTTTTATTTGTGTCCTTCTGCGATGCCGATGCCCCCAGACTGTGAAAATTATTGTCAGCCATCATTTGACAATCACTATCAAAGTCCAGAATATTGAAAAATCGACAATCAATGAGAAAATAACTTTGTCTTCTTCTTCTGTTATCTTATCGTTTTGGTACTTGACTTATAATGATGACTTTTGGATGGTGGTTACTATGGAAATTACCGCAAATGATGCTGATAGCACTTCTCAGTAATGCACAAAAAACTGGAAAAAAGCAGAAAAGGACATTTTAGGAATTAAAGTATGGCCATAAGCAAATCTATTTCTTGTTACGAAAGAATTTATATCGCCATAAAACAGATTTATAATTGTCTGTGCATCATAACTGTCAGTATGGTGTAATGTATACATGTGATCAATTGAGTACATCAACTACTACACTTCAATGGGTTCACATGAATTCCCAACAGTGCTATACAGTCTCGCATAAATGAAGAATGGTTGTGGCTGACACATATTTGGGACGACAATTTTTTGAAACTTTGCTAAAATATTCTTTGTGATTGGCTTTTTCAAATTCCAAAGAAAAAATTTAAGGTACATTTACTTGAAAATGTTTTTTTTTTAATTATAAACATAAGTTGTGAGTATTTTCTAATCCAAAATGGCCACCAATATAGTGCTTAATCATTGTTTCCTTGGTAACATGCCTGGGTACCCATGAGCAAATACCCTAGAATTTTAGTAATTTTCAAATTTTTAACAAGTGAGCTGCAATTCTATCCACCTCCAATGCGAGTTAGACAAGGAAAAATAATATCTGTCTGGGACAATTTATTTTTTGTAAAAAACTAAATTACAAATGTCAGTTTCTGGATCATCACCAATGGCAACAAGTCGAACATAAATCAAACTGAAAATGCATCTCATTTCAATCAAAATTTCAGTGGTCTCTTGCGTTATATTGCATCCACCATCTCTCCTGAGACATGAAATTACTGCCATATTTGAATTCAGTGAAACAAATGACATGAAACAAATTGACCCCATTTTGAGTGGGGAATAAATATGGCACTCAAAGTGTTAAACCAAGATGAGGGATTGGAAAATACTTTACAGCAAATCTAGTTGGATGCCATGAGTGCAAGTGAATTGAACTTTGTAACATATGTACAGAGGAAGTTTGTAAAGATTAAAAAATTCTCTAAACACTGCAGAATAAATATACAAATTAATTTAAGCATACGTTTAGCAAATGCTTAAAAAAAACCTTATCATCATTCTTCATTTAGAGACGACAGTGATTTGCAAAAATATTTGTGATACTTTCTTGATTTTAAAGTGGGTTAAATATTTATTTTTACTTATTTCCGATTTTGTTCTTCTTCATATCACATGATGCAGGACCATGTCAGATGTACAAAACATTATATATAATGATGTACTACTTCACACAATGTGAAATTAAAAGGAAGAATAAATATAAATTTTTCAAAGCTGACAGCAAAATAATTTTCAAGCTATTAGAAGAAAAGATAATATGAGATAATAGATTATTCCTCAGCTCCTGAGAGTGAGGTTATTTGTAGATATGTTGGCGATCGCCGCTGTGTCTGCGGAAGTACTACTGGAAATTGCATGATGGGAGTGAAAAGTCTTTTGATCAGTAAAATAATTTTAGAAAAGTGAAAACTAAAGTGACTGTGAAATAAAGGTTGGTTTTAAATATTAATTATCATGACATTTGGATGTAATAATGAAAGGAAATAGAACTGGTATGAAAGGGCAGTACATGTAGCCAGAACGCAAGGTCAGAATCCGGGGTCAAAATACATCCATCAAGGCGGTTGCAAAGTGTCAACAACTATGGATGAGGTAAAAGACTTCATTTGCAGTTTGCATGAATGGCCGGGGAGAAAAATTCATGCAAATTCTGTGCTTCAGTAACAGTATTTGCTTCTTCTTTTTTTTTTGTGCAATGGAAATTAATACAAGAAATGCTGCCAATAAACATGTCCTTCTAGTACACAAAACAACCCTGGGATGTTTATCTTGAGAAATTGAGAAGACGAAAATCCCCTGGGACAGTCGTTGTGAAACAATAGACATGCTTCGCCAGGGTATCAAGTTTATTTTGATTATTTGAAGATGAAAACTGCTGCTTTATGGAAGAGCAAAGTTCAATGTCATTGGCACAGTAATGACGTTTTTAGAGGGGTGACTCACTAGAAGTATTCGCCGTGAATCCAGACTTCTCATTTGGGTTCTGTTACCAAACTGTACGTTTTGACGACTCGTATGCACTTCTGGGACTTGTAATAATTTTCTGGAAACTGCATAGCAAATCACATATTTTCCTTATTAATTGTTCATAGTTTTTATTGTTCATAATTATTTACAGTAATAACATATTTTTCCGATTGTGTGCATGACAGCTTTGCCCACACACAATAAGACAGGATGATATGTACGAATATGTGAGAGTATGTTTCATGGATTATTAGGTCAATTTGCTTCATATCCAACTACATCTCTGGAAATATCATGATCACTTGCTGTTTATCATCCATATTTTGATATCTCACAATGTGTCGGTTGCGTAATCTGGAAATTCTAACTACTATTTCGCAGAATTTGACAAGCCTTGCTTTTACCAGTCATTTAAGTCAACTGCCATATTGTCCTTCACAGTGAAGGTTAATGCAGATATATTGTAAATTACACAGAGGTACAATACATTTCCCTTCACATTCCCCTGTATTACATAACAATCTTTGAGCTGAGGCAGTTATGGTTCTACAACCATCACCAGTTCTCTTGTCTATTACTGTATCTAATATCAGAGATGAATATGACTGAATAGTTTCCATGGCGATATAATGCATCAAAATCTTAATGTATTTTGACATTTTCATTTTAATAGCGACACCCAATATTAATTCAAATAATGTGCACTACTTTAGAATATGATTTGTATTATAATAGTAATAGTAAGAAATGAATTCAGAGCACATGTAAATAACCTAATATTCCAAGTCAAAATACACATGCAAATGAGATGCAAATTGACCACTACGCTTGTATTTGACTTAGAAGAAACAAGTGAAGCGTGTGAATTTAAAAGATAATTACCAAGAGTTTTGAAATGCAATGAACAAAGTATTAGGGTGAATCAATATTATGACACTTGAAATTAACTGATGAATTTGTGGTGAGTATATCAAAATCATTAATGATGTATAGGTACATGTACTGCAGTACAGAAGATAAGATACTTAAAAGCATGGTCGCTTCCCTGGAAGTGACCATCTAGACCTGATGTGAGGGATCTGCAATCATTGTTCTACACACAAGAAAAAACATATTTGCATAACAACAGCAAATGTTAATTAATTATATCGTATTTATTATTATGATAATTATGCCCTTCTCATGACCCCTAAAGGTCACACATCCTGGTACTACTAATAATAATAATAATGTTTATTCAACCTTTGTATCGGCAGCATGAAAACAGTAATACATATATTTAAATTACATTCATCATTTCTTTTCTATATTGCCATAAATCAGTTACTTATTTCCTAATTAAAGCTGATGAGGTATTTCCCACATTTTCATTTATGTTCCATAGTGTATCACCAAAAAGGAAATTGAACCTATAATTCAACCCCCCTGAAAGAAAACTATTCATTAGTGATGAAGATTCAACATTGTTTCTCAGTGAGGTTTCTAATGCTAAATAAAATTCCTTTCTAATATGATTAGATGACGTACAAAGATAAAGAAAGTGGTAAATGTCTTCTTTGCCCTGATTGCAGACTCCACAAATTCCATTACCCCTGTAATTTTTCCATCCCATTTTGTTACCTTCAAGATCTAAAGAGTTTGACCTAGTTTTAAAGACAAGGGAGATACCATGATGATCATAAGGATCTATTATGTAATTTTCTTTTTTAATGTTTCTTTTAAACCAACAGTAGTGTTTTAATGATTTCATCTTTTCTAAATTTTGTGTAAACATGTTTATTTCATTTTCTTTACTGATTTTGATAAAACTTCTTATCCATTTTGGATACTAATGTTGGTACATATGTATAACAGCATGACAACAATTGTAGAATTTTAATGTGTTTATTTGTTCCTAACAGAAACATTTTACTCTAGTAGCTAAGACAAATAGTCAAGTCTAAGAAATTGTGCCGAAATATCTATAAAATAAACTCGTTTTGATTTTTAATACCACCAAAAGTACCAGGATGAATAACCTACATGTATTCTATGCTTTGGGAAGACCCCTATATGAAAACAGAAATACAGTAGCAGTGGTAGACAGCATGTCAATGGTATCATGTAAACCAGCAAATCTGACCTTAGGTTAACCTCGTAAATGCCAACAGTAGTCTGAGTGATTATAGGCAGACTATGGTCCCACCAGTGGGAATTAGAGATGGAAAATTAGTTTCAGATTCAGATTTCTGCCCCAGATTCCAAATAATGATTACAGTAACTGCAGTTATTCCTGATTACAAAACTCATAGGTATACTTTGAAATTATGACATCTAGAATACTTCATACTGTTGCATCACAAGTGGGAATCCAAATGATAACACAGTGATAAGCCAAGAGGATATTCACTACAATCATACCACTGAAACAATTTTACTGTACAAACTGTTCTTTCTTTTCATCACAAATTTACAAAATAGTCCCGTTTATAGTCTGCGAAACTGAAACTGATTAAAAACTGAAAATTAACACAAACTTTGTCTGGTGGCTCCAAAATCAGTGTTCATTTCCAGAAATATTGAAGAATATAAACAAAAAAGTCCAGAACAATTTGGGCAAGGAAGTCTGGTGGTGGAAAGATTAATTTTGTGAGACTAATTTACCTGGGTCAGTGAAAACCATGATATTTTGTAGCAGTGAAAATTCCTCTGGAGTGCCATGAAATGAGTATCAATGATGAATTGTTGTATTTGCATATTATTGTAGAGAAATGAAAAAGTTCATCAGGTATCAGATGAAGACAATCGATAACAATTGTTACAGGTAGTTTTTTTTGAAAAATGACT